ATTCACCCACCGTTTCTCCTCATTCACCCACCGTTTCTCCTCATTCACCCACCGTTTCTCCTCATTCACCCACATTTTCTCCTCATTCACCCACCTTTTCTCCTTCCTCATACTCTACACAAACTTTCGCCGCCTCTCCCACACCAGTGCCCCGGTCCTCTTCATCACCCCCTTCATCGCCGTCACAGCTATCAACCCCCCCTGAGCTTCGTCTGATCTTGCTTGGTCGCTCCGGAGCGGGGAAGAGTGCAGCTGGCAACAGCATCCTGGGACAGGAGCTGTTTGAGTCCCATCCAGATAGCTTCACCGCAATCACTCAGAAGTGCGAGAAAAAGAAGGCAATGGTTGAAGGAAAAAGAGTAAGTGGTCAAAACCATGAGAGTTTAGATTGTTTTTGTATTTTATTTTCCTCTAACACGAAAAAATGTCCTCTGTTTTATCACGTTTTCTCATCTTGCCTTGCAGGTGTCGGTGGTGGACACACCTGATTGGTTCAACTCAGAGCAGACTCCAGATGAAGTGAGGGCTCAGATTTCTTCCTGCGTGGCTTTGTCCAGCCCCGGTCCTCATGCCTTTCTTCTCTGCGTGCCGCTAGACCAGCCAGCAAAGACCGAACTGCAAGCCCTCGAGGCTCTTGGGACGGTTTTTGGACCAGAGGCCGTCCAGAAGCACACTATGGTCCTCTTTACATACGCAGATAAACTAAGGGAAAGCGGGAAAGTAGAGGGAAAGAGTGTGGAGAATTACATTGCAAGCCAGAGGGGGGATTTGGTGAAGTTGGTGGAGAAATGCAGAGACAGGTATCATGTGATGGAGAAGGGGGATGGTTGGAGACAGAAACAGAATGTGGCAGAGCTACTTGAGAAGGTGCAGCAGACGGTGAAGGAAGCTGGAGGGCAGTGCTATTCTACTCCAGCTTTTCAGGAGGCAGAGGAAAAGGTGAGGCAGAGACAGTTAGAGATAGCAGCTGGAAGAAGGGGCATAAAGCCAGAACTGGCAGTAGATGATGGGCAGCTCAGCAGTATGAGGCAGAGTCTGGCACCAATAAACGAGGAGATAACAGAGGAAGAGATCGTGAACACAAGGGATGAGGCAGAGAGGATTGTAAGCAGCGCAAATATAGAAAGCCTTCCGCCTGTTACCCTTTCCACCATGTCGCCTTCTCTTCTCCGGTCTATGATGGAGAAAGTGGAGTCCGGTGCCAAGATGTTACCCCAACTTTTGGCAAACAGCTCAACGTGGGTGGAAGAGAGTGCAAAACAGGTGAAAGGTAGTCCAGTGTGGGGAAAAATTGGCAGTGGTGCCCAAAATGTCCAAAAAATGGTTGCAGACAGTCCCATGTGGGAAAAGGTGGGAACCACAGCAGGACAGGTATCCCAAGCTGTGGGAAAAAGAGTTCCACAGAAGGTTGTGGATGGTTCTGCGTGGGTGGGATCTGGTGCCAAAGCAGTAACATCAAGTCCAATGTGGGGGAAAGTGGGTTCAGGGGCCAAGAATTTGGCTAAGAGCCCTGTGTGGGGGAAAGTTGGTTCTGGTGCTAAAACTGGAGCTAAACTGATGGCAGATGGTTCAGTGAAGGTTGGAGCAGGGATCGGTGCTGGTGCAAAGAAGGTGGCACAGAGTCCTGTATGGGAGAAGATGGGTGCTGGAGTGAAAGCTGGGGCCAAAAGGGTCTCGGAGAGTTCAGTGTGGGAAAAAATGGGAAATACTGCCAAACAGGTGCCAAAGACGGTCATTATTGGTGCGATTCTGGGTCTGGTGCTCGGTGTCATTTTGGCTGGGCTGATCGGCGGGGCTGTTGGGACTGGTGCAGGAGCTGCAGTCAGTGAGGTGGTCCGGCGAAAATTCAGCAACAAAAGCACATCTGATGGAACCATAAACGCTGAGATACTAGCAAATAACAGCACTGATGGCAGGAAACTCATGAAGACAGAATAAAGGACTGAAATGGACCATTCATGCAAAATTTGTAAGAAAAAAGTTTTTCACCAGATTACATTATACAAAATATGATCGATACTTTTGGATTTTTCCCCTAGTTTTCTTTATTTTCAGATAACTGTGTAGTTTTATCCCACTGTTTGTATATATTATCTTATCATTTTAGGTGTGCTTTGCTTATAAAAGAACATTGATAGACAGGATTTTCTAATATGAACATCATTTGTTGTTAAAAACTGAGAAGTTTATATATAATTCTAGGTTACCGTATATAAATTTTTGTGACCGTAATAAAAATCTTTCAATTATTTACAATATATATATATATATATATATATATATATATATATATATATCATTATATATATATATATATATATATATATATATATATATATATATCTGTCATTTAGAGGTCAGATATTGTGTATAAAAGAAGAATTATTTCTTTTTTTTCAGTGAATTTCTTGGTGCTTTGATGATGTGGTTCTGAAACGGTGGTAGAACCACGACTGGTGGTGTTTGAGCCGACTGTAATAGTGGAATTTTGTTTTTAGTATTTATGAAGTTATTTTGAAGACAATTACTTATTGTAAGCCAAAGTGGGAAACTAAGCGAATAAAAACAAATGGATCAAACAAGGTATTTGCTTTAATAATGATTTAAAAAAAAAAAAAACAGAAGAGGGAAGCTGTGCAGAATATTTAAGGAAACTCTGATGAGAAGAGAACTGCTGACTTTTTATGCTTTATCCTTTTTTCTCTATTTAACCTAAATCTGTAGATGGCATCTTTACAAGAGCTAACTGCTGTTAACATCCTCAGGTGAAAACAATGTATTTCTTTGCATATTGTTTATTCAAACACAAAAGTGTTGGGTGACTTAATGAGGTCCAAACAGACTAATAATAATATTGCAACTATGATCATCATGTTTTGTCAGCCATACTGGACATTAAAGTTGTTGCAGTTAGAATTTCAGTTTTTCTTCAAGGGTATTGAAAACATAAATAAAAACATTGTTGATGTCAGAGGTATCAATGCTGCAGCAAGTCTGCATGCATTTGTTTTAAAGCATGTTTTTATGCATAACAAAGTTATTTAGAGCTCTGCCTCATCATGTGATATTTTTGTAAACCCTGACTTACATGACCAGATGCATGCAGTGAGAAGAAAACATATAAAAGATTATAGAGAAATGCCTAATGCATCAAAATGTATGCATAAAAATGATCCAATTTAACTTGTACACAATTTTTTATTTAATTTGTCCGAAACTTCAATGCTCAGTGGAGCAGTGGGTAGCACTGCTGCCTTGCTGCAACAAGGTCCCAGGTTTGATCAAATAATTAGGACTGATAAGTTTCAAACTGAAATACTGCTCTCCCTTTTTGAATATTTAATAACATAATACACAATAAATAAATATTCCAGAATTATTCCTTTATTTCAATACTGCATTTCTTTTTTTCTTTTTTTTTTGATAAAGATCACTGTCATGCACTGTATACTATATTTTTTAAATAGATTTTAGATTAATTGGCGAGACAAAAAAATGTTGAATCAGTAGATACAGTAAAAAGTAAATTTTTAATATCTTTTGTAAGAGTTTGCAGCTCCTTGTTCTACCTGTTAAAAAACAGGACTGGGAAAAATAGGAAAAGATGTAAATCAGGAGGATTTAGCCTCGGTGATCACCAGTGTGATCATGAAATACTTCAGAATAGCTGAACCAAAATACAAGGCAAACTTTACAAAGTGACACCATCTTTGTGTCTTCAGGGAATCGATTCTTTTTTCTGTTTATAAAATTATTAAGAATGTGAAATATGTCATCGATGGTCACTTTTTATAGCTACACTTTTAAGAGGCTTTCTGCTGTATCATTCTACCGCTCTGACGTTGCTTTTTTTGTTTGCACAACATGTGAAAAGCAGCGTCCTGGTCTGCAAGCTGCAGTTCCGTCTGTGCAGCACAAATGCAATGGGCAGATTAGTCTATGCTTGGCATGTGAATCGATGCTAGAGGTGCAGTATTTGTCTGGTGTGGGGGTAAAAACATTATCTCTGACTTCCAGGCTGGCACATGTGACCCTGCTTGAACCCTGTATCAGGAGGAGAGTTTTACCACCTCAGCTGTCCAAAAGGACTGCTCAGAATTTTCAGAAAAGTTGTAAGCCCTTGATATGTTACCTCTGTTGGCATTTTAATTTAGTAGAAACCAAATTAGTCGGCCCTAAAGGCAGAAGCTAATGGTTAGTCCAGAGGAAGAAAGCTTAGTTTTACTGTCCTAGAAGAAGCGCAATTTAAGAAAAAAAAACAAAAAACATAATTTTGGTTTTATGCTAGTTCTTTTTTATGAACCTTTAAATCGTTACCATGAGTCGTTATTTTTAAATAAGAGGCAAGCAACAATTTATACATCTTTGTCTTTCTCAAACGAAGATCACTGATGATGCATATAGCCTCCTTATAGCCTCCTTGTGAAACAAAAAAACAAAACCAAAAACACCTTATGAAAAGTTTTTTGTTCAGTAGTTCTTAAAATACTATTTGCATAAACCGCTATGGGGAAGGGGGATGTCTTTAAAAGCTAGAATGCATATCATTCATTTGCTTCATACCCTAGAAACGGGTTACATTTACCTTTAAAAAGACAGCAATCGAGTTAGCTACTGCAGGTTTGGTCTTATCTAGTTTAGAATAAAACCTTTGTTTAAAAAAATCCTGGCTGTGCCTTACATTTTCCTAAACTTAGAAAAAGCACAGAATAAATGGAGAAAGTTAAGAAACATTTTGGTTTTCTGATATGTCTGGGGCCATCTTTTTAATTTCACAAATTGAGCCACTTTGCCGCGCACTAAAATCCTGAAACTGTACAATTAAGCAGAGTTTAAAATCTCATGTCATGTAAAGTCAACTTTAAAGCTGCCTTGCTTACTATAAGAAAAAGCCTATATACATTGAGGATGTCTGAGATTACTGCCCCCTCTGTGGCATCTGTAAAAAGAGGGGGGGGGGGGGTTGGCACAGCACAGCAGGCAGATGTAGCCATAGCAGTGTTGTGAAAGCTGCCCTTCCTGTTGAGTGATCCTGAAACTGCCTGCACATGGGTTCCCAGAGCATCCTGGTGGTTTTTTTAATCCGCACTTTTTTTTCTGGGCACATCTTTCTCCTTTCTCTCATTCAATAATTTATTCCCCACACGCCCCAAAACCTGTCATCGAACACACACTCGTATGCGGCCGCCGCCACCCCCTCCTTCAGGAAGCTCGTTGGCCATCAATGAGACAGCACTAACTGTAGCCGTTTCCTGGCCACTTGATAGAGCCACAGCTGAACCTCGCCCCGCAGTTTTTCACTTTCCTTCACTATGCTGAACCCCATCTTTAACCACATCCCACATCCATCCTGACCTTCTTTAACCTCAACTGCACAGCCAAAACTGCCGCTCACATAAATCTGTAAATCATGTTGTGTAAAGACACCCTTAGAGCTGTAATTTCTGTCAAAGTTCATATGTGTGATGAAATTATTTGAACTGCTGAAGTTGTTAAAAAGAAGGAATCTCCTATATCTAGAGATGTTTTTAACAGAACAGTTGTTGCTTTTTGTAATCAAATCTCACTGAGATTACAATTTACGGAAACCTTTAGGGAAGCCAAATGTTCCCTAAACTGAGCGCAGCAAAAACATTTGGATGTGTTGAGAAATAGTGCTGACTGTGAGTCGTCTTTGGAGAGCAGTAAGAGGATGTCAAATAAGGAACAGCAAACTAAAATACGCTTTATTATTGTCTGGTGGAAGTGTGTCACAACTTCAGGGTGGAACTATCGACCCTGCTTATATTCAACAAGGACATGAGGAACGTTAAACACATTAAATTGGAAAGCACTAGTGGCTAAGAACAATTTACCTTCAATACTTTTGTGGTGGAAAAAACTATAAAAGTTATTTTATTATGTGGTTTTTAATTAGGGTTCATTCTTAGAGGATGAAACTTGTGGATGCTTGGAATAAGGGTTGCCTTGCAAAAGTATTCATAAACCTTCAACTTTTTCACGTTTTCACAACCTAAAAACATCAATTTAATGCTACGTTATGTCTAAATTATTAAAAGAGAAAGGAAAATTATAGTTTTCAAACCTGTTTATGCAAAAAAAAAAAGTTATAGAATGGAATGAACTTCCTTCATGCGTAAGAAGTTGCTTTAAGTCTCTTCTTAATACCCATCTTTTGGCACAATCTGAGAGTTAATTCTTAGAGGATGGAACTTGTGGATGCTTGGAATAAGTAAAATAAGTCAAATAAGGAACAGCAAACTAAAATATGCTTTATTAACCCTTGGAATAAGGGTTGCCTTGCAAAAGTATTCATAAAGCTTCAACTTTTTCATGCTTCCACAAGCTAAAAAACATCAATTTAATGCTACATTTTGTCTGAATTATTAAAAGGGGAAGGAAATTTACAGTTTTCAAACCTGTTTATGCAAAAAAAAAAAAAAAAAAAGCTATGGAATGGAATGATCTTCCTTCATGTGTAAGAAGTTGCTTTACGTCTCCTCTTAATACCCATCTTTTGGCACAATCTGAGAGTTTTAACTTTCGTGTTTTGTGTCCGTACAGTGAAGGTACAGTAGCCTATATAGGACGATCTTTTATTTCCAGGTGGATCATCTAAATAAGTGGTTCTCCTAATTGTCAATCATTCTAGTGATATGTTTACGTAAGTCCTTCCTACATGCTTGTATTGTTATCTATCTTTTTGTGTGCATGCGCACTTTCAGGCATGTATCTGTGGTGAACTACAGTTTCCGACAGCCATTGAAGTTCACCTTTCTCACTGCAGTTCTTTGAAAATGGCCGAGGGTCGTAAGAGAAAATGTGTCTACGAAGTGTAAGAGAAGAAAAGAAAGGCCTCAGAAGAGGCAGATATATCCCAGAATGCTTTGCGTGGAGAGCTCTCCTCGGAAAATATTATGGGATTTGCTGGCACAGTGGCCCGCTGTGCCTGTGCATTTTGTAGCTCTGTTGCCTTGAAGTAAGAAGGTGTTTGGTTCGATTCTTGGCCCTTAGTATGTATGCTTGGGGTTTGCATGTTCTCCCTGTACATGTGTGGGTTCTCTCCGGGTGCTCCGGCTTCCTCCCACGGTCCAAAAATATGACAGGTTGATTTGCATCTCTAAATTATCCTTAGGTGTGAGCATCTCTGCATTGTTGTACACATTTGTGCGTCTCTGTGTTGCCCTGCAACAGACTGGCGACCTGC